TGTCACACTGTTTTTATGCTACAATAGTGGCTAGGTCTCCTTAATCTCAGTTAGACCTTTACTTTACTGAAATAAGAAAATGAAAACTTTATTTGAGTTTAAATTTATTTCAGCAACATGAAGGATATTCTGAGCCTGTGGAACCAAATTACACAACCAATCCTCATTTAATCTGGACAGAGGCTCAATGTCACACTAGAACAATATCTCTCCGCTCCCACACGGAGAATTTTATGAGGAATTGAATTTACTTCAACCCGAAAAACACCTTAAACTCTCTGAAGCTGTGGTGCTTTGATTTTCAGCAGGGAGGAGGAAGATAAAAGAGAAAAGAGGTTAAAAGAAGAAAGAAAAAGGGAGGGACAGAGAAACTGAGACAAAGACAGCAAAGCAAAGAGAGAAAGAGGAGACGTAGTTATCTTTTATCTGAATTGAATTAAAGCTCTGATGAGGGGATGGTAACAAACGTGTGCACTGATGTTTCGGAGTCAGGGAGCGATTAGATTTGACGGAGGCTTCAACTGAAGCCTGGAGGTGAAAGGCCAGCTCTCTGTCTCCTGTCGGGGTGCTGCAGACCTCAGCTCTGGACTTGACCCGCGTCTCCTCTGAGGTTTAACAGTGTGGGTGGTAAACACACCAGCACACACACACATATACGTACACATTAATCTCTCATATACACACTCACACACACAGGCTTGGTAAAAACACTCTGTGGTGTAATCCAGTGAAGCACCACTCTGAGTTTTCACTCTCTGCAGATTAAAATCTTTCTAGTAAGTAATTCAATCCCTCCTTCAGATTCTCAGTCACACAGAGCAGAAGAAAGAAATCAACTCTGGTGGGCAGCAGAAATAATGAAACTTACTTGCTCCATTTAAACTGGAATGTATCTAAACCAATCTATCAATCACAATCTGAGCTACAGCGCATCAAACTGTTAAAACATAGAGATCTGATTTGATTTGATTTTAATTTGTATTTCTTCAAGCTGCAGAGTTGTAGAGTTTGATCCTGTATGCAGCGTTTAAGAGTAAAATAGCAATCACACTCTTAGCAATAAACAGACTAACATACATGGATTCATTTGAAACGTTTACAGTGTGACTGTACAGATGAGTTTAGTATTTTGTTGTTCTATGTGGCCAATTAATTAATATTTGCCAATTCGTTTTCCGTCCGTCATCTTCACAGTATCTTTCTGATAACATGCACTTTTTGTGTACATTGTAACATCTGTAATACTGCTTCTACTTTTACCCAAAACTCAAATTTATAATGTTGATATGGTCGCGTGTGATGAAAGACTAAGTGGTGGATTACTTCAAACTCTGCTATCGAGAAACATCCCTACTGATGTCTAAATTCATCTCTTCAGTAAATAATACGGGTTATTTCTGTACCAGTAGCATCGAGGTGAAACAAAGCTTTATTAGATGAAGAGGTTCATGTGGAACTTTGGTTTGTATATGAACTTAACAACTTTAGGAAGCCATGAATTACAGAGTACTGTGATCTACAGCTATGATGTATTAAGGAAGGTTTTGACTTTTTTCCTCTTTTCCTTATAGGGCAATCTGTGAGAAAGCTTCATGTTAAAGAATAAATGGCCACCAAATGGGAGAGGGATTGTACTGAAACTCAAGGAGATACTGACTGAGATACTACACACTACACAGCACATTTGTCTTTAAAAGAGCAACAATCATTTTATCTTCACTTGACAAAGTCTTTAGAGATGAGCTTATAAATAGAACTGCAGTACTCTTTCCACTACACTGACTACACTACCTCACGTCAGTTTAATTTGTGGTGCATTAGCTAACAATAGAAACTAAATACAGTGTTTCCACCGCAGGACCTCTCCCAGCAGACCAACAACCTTTAGAGCAACTAAAGAACAAAACCTGCAACTGGAAGAACCCGGGACTAAATTTAATTTCTGATAGTTTCAGGTGCTAAAAAGGTCTCTCCTCCGAGGGTAGTACTTTCCAAAGAGTCACAAAGCTAAAACATGTATATCACCTCATTCATCCTCCTCATAGTTTATTGACGTCAAGAACAAAGTTATATATTGTGTTCATCTTGAGAGACAGAGAGAGAGGAAGCAGAGATAACAAAGTAAAGTGAGTAAAGTTGAGAAATAATAGTTGTTTCATGGCAGTTATGCACTAAAGCAGAAATAAATAACCATTAAACCCTCAGCAGATCATCTGGAGACAGTCTACTTTTTCCTTGTCTGCAAATCTCTGTTTCATTCCTTCATTACATCAAATTCAAACATTACAATCAGGCAACAGTAAATACAAGGAAGAGGTAGAGGTACAAAACTGCAATTTCAACTGTGCTGTTTAACCTGCTTTGGGACTAATATGCCTAATCTTCACTTCAATTTTCTTTAGTTCCTGAAATTAGTTCTGTAGTTCCTGCAACTTCTTAGTCAAAAAGGAACTAAATGCAACATTTGTTTACTTCTCAAATTTTCAGGATGCTTTTTCTTTTCTAAACATCACCTACTGTACGTGACAACATTTGGAAAGTAACTAAATCTGCTGTTCACTCAGCATTCCTGCTGTAAGAATTATGATTCATACAGGAACTGACTCCTAAAACAGAAGCATTATTCATGCTGCACTGGCTGTCATTCTTCTGTAACATTTAAATTATTCTAATTATGATGAATGGGGACTCCCCGCACTCACAGTCCTTTCAAAAATGTTTTCTTTTGCTAACTGATTTCATGGATCAACATCACCTGCTGCACCCAAATCACTTCATTGTGCACATCAGCAGGAGTCTGATGGTTTAACTGTCAGGAGATGACAGAGGTACGGCAGCAACTGCAAAGCCCAGTTAGTCACTGTGTGGTCTGGATAGTATATGGAGGCTACTGTATTAATCCTCGTCGTAAATCCATCTTTGATCACCACTGCAGCACACAAATAATGTGTCTCTCAAATGACTGGTCCGTGTTTATTCAGTCTGAGTTAAGACCAATAACAGCCCAGAAAATGATTGTTTTTACACTTATATGGATTTATAATCTGTAAAAGAAGTGTGGTTTCAGTAAGAATGACTCTTCATCACAGTGATGATAATATAACACAGAACTTGTCATAGCCTTTTTGTTCGCTTGTTTATTTATATCTTGGAAAAACCACATTGTACTACTTTTAGCTGTAGTATTGTGTAAGCGTTGGTCTGTCTGTTGTTTCCCCCCTTTGGTCCAGACTGAAATATCTCCCAACTGTTAAACTGTTACTGTGAAAATATACCATTTAAAATGTTTCACTCATCTTGTTAAATATCTCTACAAGATGGATTTGGCCAACATTTTGTAGATACATGTATGAAAGGCTTCACTTTCTATCTAGCATTGCAACTGGGTCAGTGCAGGGTTATGACTTAAAAAACTAATGACATTCCCATCAGCCTCAGGATGTGCTTTGTGTTTGTGTTAATTAACATTGTATTGGTGAGAATTTCCACTCCTCGCTCACCGAGCTGTTCGTTCCCTCCTCTCCTCTGTTCAACGTTCAATGTCGCTATTTCAACCCGCTCGCTCTAAAAAAATGAAGCTGCGTTGTATTGTCAAACAGCCAGGCTTGTACACAAATTGACAATATTCTGGGTAGTTTAAAGGCTGTTGTGCTTTCTAATGTTCATGATAGGTGTTTGTGGGTGGGAAGTAGGGATGAGTGAGTGCAACATTATCTGTACAATCAACTCAATTACCGGTATCTTTACTCAGAGCAGAATGGGTGGGGCTTAAATTGGAGGTGGGCCCAAGTTGCGATATTTATTAGAAAAATAAATTAAACAACCTTCTTTCTAAATAAAAGTTGCTTATAACAACAGCACAGATTTACTACGATGACTGGTTGTTCTCTTGCACAATGGAGGGCAGTCCTGGATGACAACAATGAACCTTGTATGCATTAAAAGAAGTGGCTGGTGATACATGAAGAAGTACAGAGCAGCCCAAAGTATTCCAAATTGGAGGAAAATGGGGAAAAATACTGAAGAAACAGGCACAATGTCACAAAAGGTAGTTGTAGGCAGGTAAAATGTTAATGCACAAACAACCAGAGAGAGGGTAAAATCCATGAGGAACGTTGTATAACTCTCACCCAAACCTTCATCAGAGATCAGTTTACTAATAAGTAAGTTTTAATGGCTAGGATTTAGTGGTTAGTTTTTTATGGCAACATGTTAATTACTTTGTACAGCAGGAATGTTCTGCAGTACTTCTGCAGGATGGAGGCAAGGTAATGGGGGAAACAAGGTTTTACAATGGCTCTCATTACGCTCCGTGCAGTCACAGCTCCAGTGAAACCACATATGGAGGAATTATAGTTTGTTAGGACAACAGGAGGGAAATCACTCACTGCTTTTCTCCTGATTGAAAGCAGCTGCCACTCATCCAGAGTCATAACCCGAAACTTTGATCTCTATCCTGCAGATCACCAAGCAAGAAAATTGAGCTTGTTACAATCTAAAATAACAACTTTTACAACTTGACTGCGCACAGAGCAGCGGAAGCAAATGACATTTCTGCTGAAGGAATTCTGAGTCACATACAACACAGATTTTCTTGTTGTTTTGTCTCTCCAGGTCTATTGACGTGTTAAATGAACCAGGGTAGAGCATCCATCAACAGAATGTGATAACACACGTGTATGAAAGTAATTACACAGGTTGAACACTTAGCTGCAAGACTGTCAGCAAAAGTCTGCACACTTCCTCTATGTAAGTTTTGATCGTATTGGATCTTGACCAGATACAACTTGGATTGAAACGTTGTCATTCTTAAACTTTTCTGACATGGAGTCAACACCATATCAATACTCCAATACACTCTGCCATTCACTTGTGCTATGTTCAGCCTCAGCACACGGTTAATTTCACATTTGATTGTCAACCTTCTTGTATTTTTCTACACATGACCTACACAAGGTCTACAGTGTCCAAAAAAGAGAAGAAGGCAGTTTGTCTCTTACCTTCTGCAACCACTGTGTGTTGTTCTCCATTGTGCTCTCCAGGTGCTGCAGTTTCTGAGCTGACCATTCACTGTCGGCTGGCGCCGAGTCTCTCTGCAGGACACTCGCCCCGCCGCGAGAGCCACCATATTGTTCATGCTGTGACAGCGATCCTCCCTGGCACCCTTCCAGCTCCGGCAGGATGAAGGTGTAGCTGCACTGTCCATGTTGGATGCGGTGAAACCTCCTTTTCTTATCCGCACCACCGCCGCCGCCACCACCTCCTCCTCCTCTTCTCTGGCTTCTTCCAGCTCCTCCTCGTTCTGCACCCGCAACGCCAGCAGCATCAGCGATGACTGACAAGGTCCAGAGCAGCAGAAGCACCAGCAACCCCCAGCTAAGATTTAAGCCTTTCATGACGATCTCTTCAACTGTATTAAAGTCTTCTCTCTCAGTGCCAAGAGGGTGAAGCTTGTTCACGCTTTGACCCCGATTCACTTTATGAAAACATCTGTGTGCAGGATGCAACACAAGTCATGCATGAGTTTCTACACCTACCAGTCACCAATCCATGAGGTTGGATTCAAGTCCCTTCAAGTTGTTCTCATGAACTTCAGGAAATAACTTTTCTTATGGATCACACTTTATTTAAATGCAGGAACGGCACCTGTTCTGTTGTCTCACATTGGTGAAAATGTTCATCAGATGAGTTGGTCAATATGTGGGATGGATCTGCTTTCTTCTTCCTTCTCCTTTCGTTCTCAGGTCTTGATTTAGTTCACTGTGGTTGGGTTCGTCTTGTTGATGAAGATTATTCAGGATGGGTCCATTGGCTTGTTCCTGGGCAGGTCTCTCATGGTTATTTAATGCTCTCCTGTCCTTAATGCCCCATGTGCAGGTCCAGACCCACTCAGGATCAAATATGGATAGAGGAAAAGCCAAGTGGGTAGACAGGAATGAAAAAAAGAGGTTGTGGGCCAAAGAGAAGGATGGGCGATAGTGAATGTCCAATCTGACTGGGAGAATGAAAAAAACGTCTAAATGCAAGGTGAGAATATCAGAAAAAGACAAGATTTAAAGTTGCATTTGAATGAAGGATGACTCAAATGGACTTCTCTACCCTCAAATATCCAGGATTAAAAGAAAAGAGAAGTCTTTCTTGTCTCTCATCCTTCTCTGGTGGCTCCAGTTTCAGAAGTGGCCGAAGAGAAACACTTCTGCCCCCTTCTTATCTGGGGCCGGCTGAGAAAAGGAGGAATGAGCGAGGGAGGGAAGAGGAGAGGGAGGCGGGGGGAGGGAGGAGTGGAGGGACAGGAGATCTGAGGGAGGTCTATTAGAGTACCCTCTCTATTTGTGTGCTGAGAGGAAAGGAAAGGAAGGAGGAAGGAAAGAAGGAATGAGAAGTAGTCAGAAAAAGAAAAAGGGGGGAAGATTAAGGGAAAGAAAAAGAGTAGAGAGAGGGAGAGAGGCAGAAAGTAAAGACAGCCAGATAAGAGAAACAGACAAACACTGAGGAAGAGAGGGCAGAAAAAGAATCTAAACTGCTGACAGACAGAAAGAAATGCACAGATAGAAGAAGGAAATCAAAAAGGGGGTCTAGTAGCGCCGGTAATCTTCTTTTCTAACTGATCTGAAGTAAATCCTGATGCCTTGTATGGGCATTCATACTGAGTCAGCAACTGGAAGCTGGAGATCTTACTCTGTCCTCTAAACACAGCCATGCTCTGGGGCATCATGGGAGATCAGGGGGCCAAGGCAGAACCACGTAGTCATCCAACATCTGCTTTAGACGCTCTCTGTCGTGGGATGTACCTTCTCGCTGCCTCTCGTCTGTCCTGCTGCTCTTCACTCTACATGGAAATACATACAAAGATTAGTTCCAGACAGATGGCCTGGTCCCAGGCTTATGAAACACAAGCTCTACATGTGTGTGTGGTGGGGGGTGGGGGGGCTGGCAAAGTGAGTTGTCAATTATTGAGTTTATTTGCACAGCGATAAACTGTTCTGCAGAAGTTGACTGATACAAATACTGATAAAATTCTTTGATAAGAACAGAGCGATAAAAGACACACTTGAAGATTTGTGCAAGAAGATAAAAAGTCACAATGTTGTAAAATTAAAAAAATAAATAACAGAAAGCAAAGATGCAAAGAGCAATATGAGGTTTCTGTTGAGAAGATGTGTAACTGCATCCTCCTCTGCTGGTCAAAGAGGACACAAAGATAAAACGCTGCTCTCATCGTCTCACCACCAGCCACTTCTTTATTTTGACATAATACAGTCTTATTTTCCGCCCGGTCTGACCTCAGTCTACTGTTACTGTTCTGCTGAAGCATACATCTTAATTTTGGCGGGGCCGGGTCGCTCACTTAATGTTAGCCAATTGGTCCTTTGGGGGAGAGCAGAGGGGTTACACAGCGAGTGGCTTCTGCCCCAACCGGAGATCATTCTCATGGGAACAGGAGCGGACGGAGAGCCCGGCGCACAGAGCTGCGATGCATAGAGCTGGTGTCCCTGACTTTTAAATGGGAGTAAACTTTGATTGTGGGAATATTTGTTCTTCATATATCATCAGTGTTTGCATTCAATCAAACAGTATAAGTGGTCAAACTGTGTAGAAAATGACTCTCAAGTCAAAAAAGCTCCCATTTACCGTTCTCTGTAACATCTGATGTTCATTTCTTCATCATCACCCTGACAGAGGCATTAATCTTTTTGTCCTTCATCCAAGCGTGCAGCAGGTTTTAATTATGTCCTCATTTATCTACGGACAGTTTTTATTTATGTATTAGTGATGATATCTAAATGAGCTGCACAGGCTGTTGTTGTTGAAAACATAAAAAATCATGAGGCAGCATAAAATAAAACTAATAACTATATAAATAAAAATGTTAAGAGTAATCAAAACAATTAAAAAGAAGAGTTGAGTGTAAATTCCAGCTTCTCTTCAGCCTTTTCCCTTTTCTTGAATGGTCAACAATCAAAAGTGTTGTTACAAGTATTACAGCTCGCCTTTTGCATGGAGAATAAACACAAACACACACACACACACACACACACACACACACACACACAATATTTTGATATGAATTGTTTGTTAGCTTTTTGTTACCTAACTAGCATCTGACCAGCCAACAAATAGGTGGAGCTGTGTGACAGACTAAGCTCAAACTCTACCCTATATAACTGTAACTGCAAGGATAAACGCCAAGACAATGTTTATCATCTGCCCACGTCCTTGCAGACGTCCCTGCACAGCCAAAAATCTTCTTTTTTAAGATTTGTTTCGCCCTTATTTGATAACAGACAGACAGACAGACAGACAGACAGACAGAGGGGACAGAGGGGACTATGATATGCAACAAGGGACCCCAGTGAGAATGGAATAAAAAGACACTGTGGTTATAAAACATGTGCCCTGACCAAGGTGAAAAATGCACTTTTTCTGTCTAGCGGTGATTAAATCTACCAGCCACTTATATATTTTACCAGCATTTGGCTGCTAAATGGTTTTAATTTTGTGCCCTGGCCCTGAATATTCAGGATGGCCTGGACCCAAAGTTCATGGACTGTAGCACGTGCAGTCACATTCCTGTCTATTGTCCACTGTCTGCCCTGTTGTCCACATTCATTTGGAGAATATCAGAGCCATAACTTTTCTTCATGCTCTTATTTTCAACCCATATTGAAGGTCTCTGGTTTGATCCAGGTTTCTGATTAACTTATCAAAAAACAATCTTTCTTGTTTTTACAAAAGTTGTAGTAACTACATCATTAGTCTTAGTTTGATAGGTTGAGTCTGGAATAGTTAAGCTGAGGTTTAGAGTTTAGGATGTGTGCCTCTCGGTTAATATGGTGATTGAGAAATGTCCTGTTTTGCTCTGGAGGGTCAACATATTGGTACCAAATGTGGTCATAAGGAGACAGCGGAGCATGCAATGACACAACTACAAAAACGGACTAAAAGACTTAACGTGGGAAAGCGGTTGTTTCTCTTCATATTTTAGTTGAATTTCTTTATTGAGTCACTGAAATCAGATCATATCCAATGACCGTTATCATTTTTTATTCTCTATACGCCAAAAATATTTCAAAATTTCAGCAGCAGCCGTCCTAGGAAGCCAAAGGAGATTACGACTACATGCTGTGAGACATTTCTGTGCGCTCCAGTTCTGTGTCCTGGTGATGTCTGTACTCTCTTCTATTCATGCTGATATCAGGAATAACAGAGGGCACATGAGTCATGAACCAGCCCTTTCACCTTCCCTCTGTGGGAACGGGCGGACGGATGAGGATGTGTTTTTTTTAATTCCAGGATTTGATTTCAGCTATGCCTGTTTCTGTCTTTTTTTGGCCCCTTTGTCCCCAACTTGATGTTTGTTTATTTGTCTATTCTTCCTTCTTTCTCCTTCTTTGCCACATTATGGTTTGGTAGTTTGGCAGCGTTCCCACTCTTTTTAAGAAATCATTTTCTAGGACATTCTCCAGGAGTTTTTTCTTGACAATACAGGAGAGCACTTGCTCACGAACAGAAGGCCCAGTTTTAGTACATTTAACCACAGTTTTATTCCTTCTTGTTTACTGATGCAGGTTCATGATAGAGGGTCTCTGGTTCATTACAGACAGGTTTTGATGGTTAATAGGCTGTATGCATGCACCTTCTCTGAGATTTTGTGGCTCTAGAAAAAATAGACCACAGAGATCGCTGCAGGTCTGTTCCACGTCTGGTGTGAACAGATGTATATCGACTGACATGGGAGCTGAAATTAGTGTTTTTTCCGTTCCGTCCTGTCGAGTTTCAAACATAATACACACCTAGGTTTATGTATGTGATCCAAATGAGGATCCAGGACAGGTGGGAATCTGGTGACTGGTTTCAAGAGTTACAAGACTACTGGATGTTTAAGATTGTGATGAAAACTCACAGGCTGTTGATTGAGGAAGAAATTAAGGCTTAATTTCTCTAAAAATGTAACATCTTTTGGGGATGGCAGATATATAATGATGTTTGTATTCTATAACAAATGAGGAAATACTTTTTCTTGTTAAATTAGTTTGATTTGTTCTCTATAAACTCAAACATGCATTCACTGTGTTTAGATTTTTTACTTTCTATCTCTATGATTATATATCTAATGTTATTTAAAAATATTGTTTCTCTTCCATGCATAAGGCCAAAAAAGATTACTTCAGATAAAGTGTCAGAGAGACAGAGGGGATGAGGGATGGCAGTAAAGAAACAGATACAGGGAAGAAGAAACAGACAAAGTAAAGAGGACTGTGGAGACAAAGAGATTTAAAGTGAGAGACAGATAAAGAGAGCGAGAGAAGGACAGAGAAGGATTTCCTGTGCTGAGGTTTCAGATGACAGCGACTCTAATAAAGTTCAAGTTTGACTACAATCTGCAGAATCAATCATTACTCTTCTCTAAGAAGAGAAATGCTTTTTATGTTTCATTTCAGTGTATGTTTGAACATAAAAGCTTATAAAGACCATGTCTGCTCTCTCTCTCAGTCAGCCGAGGACCAACCAGGAGGTTAGAGCCGTGCACGAATACGACAGACAGCCATAAACTGTACATTTGAGCCGTATGGGCCCTGAATCAGTTTGTTGTGCTGAGCTCTAACAAGTATCAATACAAAGCCATACTTGAGGAATGAGACCTGCTTATGCATCAACAACCCCTTGAATAACAACAAGCTCAGAATTTCTCTGTGTGTGAGTTAAAAAAACATGAAACATGAAAGGCCCTATCAACAAACAGTGGTTTATAGAAACATGGTGGTTCAACATGGCTCCGTAGAAGAGGACCCGCTCCCTCTGTAACTCCCTCTGGCTCATTATAAAGTAACAAAATCACTACGATTCATGTTTCAGGTGATTATACACTAATGAAACCGTGCAGGTGACTTATCTGTACATGGAACCTGATGACCATCAAACACATCAAACGAGACACCCAGGTGAGAGCAGTGATAACCAGGTGTTTTAAACCTGCCATCCAAATCATTCGAATGTAATTTGTTATTTTAATATGACTAAGTATTTAATTACTGCTTCAGATTCTTTGGTAATAATCTGTGTATTTAACCTATTTTCTTTTTTAAAGATTATGGGTGTAAATCTGTCGCAGATTATTGTGAACAGCATCATTTCTGGGACACTCCAGCAGGACAGATGTTTGCTGACACACGATGGTTTGAATACGGAGCAACTTCTACTCACAT